AACAGAACAAAATATGGGGTGCATTTAGGATGTCGGTCCTCTTGTGCATGCTGCCACTGTTAAGGTCATCAGACTCACAGTGACTTTCAGCAATCCATTCTATAGGTAATCGTCTTCTTTGGCCTGTCCAAGGAAACCCAAACCTGCAGATGGCGGGCATGCATCCCATCCCCCACCTCCTACACAGGTGGCCAGTGGGGCATGCACCCCCCTCCCCATCGTGAGCAGCCACTGGGGGCGCACCACCCCATCCCACCACACGGGCACTCAGCGTGCGCACGGCCCCTCTTGTGCGGGTGGCTGGCAGTCGCCCGCTTCCCCCACAGCCACCATACTGGCTCCAAGAATTCTCTCCAGAGCAAGTCCACCTTGCGGCAGTGTAGTGGCTTCGCTGTACCAGTCTTGAGGAGGGCCAGTGCCCAGCATCCATCCTGGGTGAGGGAATCCATTCGTTCCGACTGTGGAAGCCTCAGGGAGCTGCAGTGGCTGGGCGGCGTGGTGTGGGCTCTGCAGGGGCGGGGGTTGAGAGCCACCACGAGACTCACCCATTTCTCCTTGGGAACCCTTCAATTCCTGTTGTTGAGCCTCCATCTTCACTGAGGGTCAGTTGTCAACTGTTTAAGTGTTCAATTATCAATAAGCCGAAGTCTGTGGAAGGCCATAATGGCCCTGCTTTAAGTGGTTTGCTGCTCCCGCAGCTCACCACGCTGTCTCTGCCTCTGCCACCATCTTGGATCTCCTATTTTTTTCTTTAAATAAAATGTTTATTTTGTACTGATTTACTTACAAAGTTTGTGTACATTGTGTTTCACACAGGGTCTTCCCCATTTCCTTTACTCACCCCTCCCTCCACCCATCAAATTGTGGGATCCTATGACCCACCCTTCTCCCCCTGTAATCTCATACACGTTTTACTAGTTTTCTATTTCTACAATAATGGTAATGTATAATATTTGTCCTTATGGGATTGAGTTAGTTCACTTAGCATGATGCTCTATAGTCCCTACCATGTGAGGTAGTAATTTATAAAATCATTGCTCCTGCATGTTACACACTATTTCATCGTGTGAATGTACCCTAATTTATTAATCCATTCCATTGTCGTTGGCATTTAGGGTGTTTCCATGTTCTTGCAATGATGATTAACACTGTTATGAACACTGATTTAAAAGTCTGCGTTTGTGCCTCAGTTCTCATTTTTTCAGGGTATTTTTGAGCCTATCTAACTCATTACAACCCATGAAAGGCAGAACAAAACACTTCCTGGTCCTGACTTGTTTTAGAGCAGACTTCTATGAATTGTATAGTTTTTGTTTGTTTGTGGTTTTTATGTGTATATTCAGATTATCAATTTTTTTCCCATTCCAAAGAAAGGTGGCCTAACGGAGTGTGAAAATTATCAAACAATATAATATGCAAGCAAGATTCTGCTGAAAATCATCCAAAAACGTTTGGAACAATATGTCAACAGAGAACTGCCAGATGTGCAGCCTGGATTTAGAAGAGATCACAGTACTAGGTATAGTATAGCTAATGTAAGATGGATCTTGGCAGAAAGCAGAGAATACCAGAAGAATGTCTATCTGTGATTCATGGACTATACAAAGGCTTTTGACTGTGTGAGTCACAACATGCTCTGGATGACTCTGAGAAGACTGGGAATCCCAGAACATTTATTTGATTGTGCTAATGCGAAACCTATACTTGGACCAACAGGCAGTCATCAGAACAGAGCAAGGAGACACTACATGGTTCAAAATCAAGAAGGGGGTCAGTCAGGGATGTATTCTGCCTCCATAACCTTTTCAATCTGTATGTAGAACAGATCATCTGAGACGCTGGGCTATACGAGGAGGAATGTGGCATCAGGATTGGTGGAAGAGTCATCAACAAACTGCATTATGCAGATGACACAACCCTGCTTGTTGAAACTGAGGAGGACCTAAAGCGCTTGCTGCCGAAGGTCAAGGACTGCAGCCTCCTATATGGATTGAAGCTCAACATCAAGAAAACAGAGATTCTCACCACTGGGCCAATTGGTAGCATCAGTATGGATGGTGAAGAGATTGAGATAGTTAACAGTTTTCATTTACTTGGCTCCACAATCAACACTCTTGGTAGCAGCAGCCAAGAAATCAAGAGACTAATTGCATTGGGAAAGTCAGCTGTGAGGGACCTCTCAAGAGTACTGAAGAGTAACGACGTCAGGCTGGAGACTAAGGTGCACCTGATCCAGGCTATCTATAGTCTTCGCAATTACGTGCGATGCATCGGAGAGTTGGACAGTGAATAGGGATGATAGAAAGAGAATTGATGCCTTTGAGCTGTGGTGCTGGAGAAGAGTGTTGACTATACTATGGACTGCTAGGAGAAAAAACAGGTTTGTCCTGGAGAAGGTGAAGCCGGAATGCTCCTTGGAGTCAAGAATTCTGAAGCTTCATCTGACATACTTTGGGCATTTTGCAAGGAGAGGGACATCATGTTTGGCAGAGTGGAGGGGTGGCAAAGGAGAGGACGACCTTTGATTAGATGGATCGATTCTGTGACTGGAGTGGTGGGAATGAGTGTGTTTGAGATGGCTAGGTTGGCACAGGATAGAACGACGTTTAGGGCTCTTGTACATAGGGTCGCTATGCGTCACAAGCAACTCGATGGCACATAAGAACAACAACAACAATAATGTGTATATTCATTATCATAAGTTTTATAAATTTTATCTTAAACTGGTTTATATACAACGTTCATATACATTGTTTTTAACACCAGATCTTTCCCCTTTCCTTTCCCCACCCCTCCCTCTACCCATCAAACTGTGTGGCCCTATGATTAAGTTTCCTCCCCTTTAGATTTGCATCACTTTTGTTGGCTAAATTTTTGTAAGTAAATGGACTGGCCTTTCTTTCTAATCCAATTAGCTCTGGAAGCACTTTTAGAACTTTCTTTTGGCCAAGAACAACAATCAACCCTTAGATTGATTCCTGGTGGATAGAACAGCAGATAATAAAAGTGTTCTATCACTGAAACACCACACTACTGTCAAGTCAATTCTGCCTCATAAGAACCCTTGATTGGGTTCTGGAATTGCAACACTAGGAGACAACAGATACATGGCCTTTGAATTTGCAGGACAACTTGCTGAAAAAACTGCAGAACCTTATTAGATAGTAAGAAAAACTCAAGGTATTTTGTTGTAAACACAGAGAATACTCAGGGATGCATCCTACTGTGTCATAACTATGTCAATACTGTTTGAAGTGTAAATTTCACACTGTGAGGTCCTGACACCGTGAATAGTGAAGTACGAATAGTGAGGTTTGCTGTCATTAGTGGATACTTAGCAGTTAGAGAGGACAAAGGTGGAGCCAGGCCAGGCCTGAGAGTATTCCATAGTAAGGAAAGACTCACTCTTCACCTGGTACTCTCAATCAGGTGCCACTGGGATTGAAGACCGCTTGCAAGATGGAGTCCCTGAAACCATTTTAAAATTGCGCCAAGCAGGCCTTCAGATTTGGGTCCTTACTGGTGACAAGCAGGAGACAGCCATCAACATTGCTTATGCTTGCAAACTGCTGGACCAGAACGAGGAAGTCATCACCTTCAATGCTGACTCCCAGGTATGTCAATTTCAAGGTATCTTTTGGGCAGCTTCTCTGAGCATGTGGTCTCCACTTTCTATTTGCACCTATATTGAGTTTCTGAGGCTTGGAAACTAGTTATCAGTCACTGCCTCAGAGGGGGAAACATTTTGGAGAGAATTTATTCAACAGAAAGCATACCTGGCCTCAATGATGCATAGTTGAACCTACTTCCCCATCGGATCATTTCAAAGTCCTCAAATGTCCTTCATTCCTCTTGGTTCTGATGATTTCTGAGACTCTCATTCTTTTATTATCTTATCAGATTTGAGATGTACCAATCAGATGTTTTATAGATGTCATTCTATTACAATGTCTGATGTTTTTTCCTGTGTTTAGACTAAGGTGACTGATTTTGGAAAGGAATACCCCTGAGGTAACATTTTCATCACACTCTTTCATGACTTGTCCCCGTTAATGGTAATCTCGATTATATTCATGAGGTCAGTCAGATTTCTTCACTGGAATGTTATTTTCTTTCCTTTTCATATCATACTTTTTGGAAAGAAGTCACCAGATGCAGTTCACACATATGAATTGTAGAGTTATATCCCACCTTTCCTAGCGCAAAATATCTCTGCAAATTATTTTAAACCCAGTGAGTTTTGGGTTTATTATGGTTCAGTTTTGTTCTTCACATACTCCTTTTTCCCCTCGCAAGACTTTATCTCTTTAAATTTCAAGAATACTTAACATCATTTCTTAGAGCTGTTTTTAATTTTTTTTAAATTATTATTAATTTTAATGAAAATTTACAGAGACTTTGGATTTCTATTCATTCACTGTTGCACTTGTCTCCCTGCCCTCCTCTCCCCCCATTTGCTCTTCTCTTTGAAAAGTAAAAGAAAAATTATTTCATTGTTATACAATCCTTCCCTCCAAGTCCCCTGCACTATGCAGCCTTCGTTCTGGATTCCTGTCATGACAATAATACCTAATCACATATCCCTTTTAAGTAGTTCTCTCCTTCATCTGTTTCAGTGCAGTATACATTATTTATCCCATCTTTCTCAGTCTCCCCCCAAGCCTGATGTCAGTCCCATTTTATAACAGTGGCACTATGCAGTATTTGTTCTTTTATAACGGAGATATTTCACTCAGCATGATGTCCTCCAGGGTCACCCATTTTGAATAACATTGCATGAGTTCCTTGTTTTTCAATGCAGCATAGTATTCCATTGTAGGAATATACCACAGCTTCTCTCTCCAATCGTTTGTTGATGGACACTTGGGTTGTTTCCAATTCTTTGCGATTGTGAACAAAGCAGCAATAAACATGAATGTGCATATATATGCTTGGGTGGCAGTTATGGTTTCTTTGGGGTGTATTCCCAGTAGTGGAATTGCTGGGTCAAATGGTATTTCTATTTGCAACTTTTTTAAAAATTAATTTCAATGAACATCTACAGAGATTTTGGATTTCCATTCATTCATTGTTGCACTTTTCTCCCCGCCCACCCCACCCCCACCCCCAGTTTGCTCTTCTCCTTGAAAAGCAAAAGAAAAACTCCTTCATTGGTCTACAATCCCCCCCGCACACCCCACCCCCACTCCGAGTATACTCCACTCTGCAACCCTCATTCCAGACACTTATGATAATCATAATGCCCTATAATATATTACTTTTAAACTATTCTCTCCCTCATCGGCTTCAGTGTAGTAAACATAATTTATCCAGTTTTTCCTCAGTCTTACCCGCACCCTGATGTCAGCCTCATTCTACAACAGTGGCACCATATAGTATTTGTCCTTTTGTGACTGAGATATTTCACTCAGCATAATGTCCTCCAGGATCACCCATTTTGAATAATATTTCATGAGTTCCCAGTTTTGCAACTTTTTGAGAAAGCACCATACTGCCTTCCATAGTGGTTGTACCATTTTACACTCCCACCAACAGTGAACAAGGGTTCCAGTTTCTCCACAACCTCTCCAGTTGTTTGCTGTTCTTTTATATTTTGCTATTCTTATTGGGGTGAGATGATATCTCATAGTTGTTTTTATTTACATCTCTCTTAGAGCATTTTTCAGTGCTGCTCAAAAGCCTTTGCCACCTAATTCTAGTATCTGTTAATTTGGCATTAGTTTCTAGTGATTATCTTCCCATAGGAATTAAGATTTTCCTGATTCATTTAATGCTGAAAAAGTTTGGATTATGTTGTTGTTGTTGTTGTTGATTGCCGTCAAATCAAGCACAATTCATCTCGACCTTATCAACAAAAGGCCCGAAGCCCCTCTACAACTATAGACATATATCAAAGTTCATAGAGATTCTGGAGGCATGTTGTTTAGGAAGTGGATGCCACTCCTACTTCCAATGGATTATATTATGGACATATTAAATATTTAACACTCTGGGTCTTTTAAAACTCAAATACATTGATAGATTCTTATTATATACCATTGATTCAGAACCAACTCATAGGTGGTTGTTCAAAGGCAGTAAATTGTATGGGAGGAGATTGTCTATCTTTCTTCCACAGAGCAGATGATGAATTAAAAACAATCTGTTTGCTTTTGGGTTGACAGCAGAAGTCCTTACCACTAAATTACCAGAGTAGAATATTGATAGTTGTTAAGCAGGTAATCGATTATATTGTATTCAGGCTATGCATTTTTAGCACATTCAAGGTGCTAATTTTCATTTCATTTTTGCATTAAAAGCTTTTTCTATTAGGATCTTTCTCATATGCTTAAAGCCTGTGAAGGTACAACCTTGAATTCAAATCTCAAAGCCTTTGTTATGCTATTTAGGATTTTGTGCAAGTGTGCACAAGTCATAGGTGAGCACCACATTCATGAACACTGTGTCTTTCTTTAGCCAAGTCTCTCCCTCTTCAGTTTTCTAGTAATTTGATTCCCTAGGATATTACCTTTTCAATTCTCACAAGGAATTGAAGTTTCTGCTCTACTTCTCACTTTCTATGCCTACACCTTGCATCCAGAACCAAATGGTGGGAGGATAAAGAAAGGAAAAATTACTTTTTTGAGGTTATTCTCTTAGAAAAAGGAAAGGTTAATCTCCTTCAGAGTGCTTGGCTGTAGTCAAGCTGTTGTTTTTGCTGCTGCTGCCATAGCCCATCATACCCTGTATTTTCATCTGGATACTTCCCTTCCTCCCTCCATCCACCAAACTATACAAACCTGTGGTTTAACCTCTGTCATCCTCACCCCTTCCTCCATGTTTTACTAGTGATCTTTCTTTTCTTACAATAATGGTCTTCAGCAGTATTTGTCCTTATGTGACTGAGTTAGTTCACTCAGCATAATGCTCTCTAGCTTCTCCAAAGTCATGTAGTATTTTTTGAAATTGTTACTCCTTAATGCTGCGTAGTATTCCATTTTGTGAACGTACCACAATTTCTCAATCCACTCAGGTATGTTTCAACATTTGGGCTGTTCCCATGTTCCTGTGATGGTGAATAACACTGCTGTGAACATTAGTGTACAATTATCCTCTTTGTGTCTCAAGTCTCATTTCCTTGGAGTATATATCTAGGAGTGGAATAGCTGGATCAAATAAAGTTTCTATGTTCAACTTTTTGAGGAAATGCCAAACCCTTTCCAGAGAAGTTGTAGATCAAACTCGTTCTTGCAGTCACCATGTCAATCCAACATAAACTTTATATTTCCATTAAGGCCTTCCCTTGTTACCACTATCCAAAGGATCCCTGGCGGTAGAGTTCACAGGCTGTTGTGCTGGTGGCCCAAAGGTAGTACCTCTCTGGTAATTTGAATCCACCAACATCTCTATGGGAGAAAGATAAGCAATCTCCTTCCATATGATTTACAGCCTTTGAAAACTCATGGATGGGGCAGCTATAAGTTAGTTCCAGCACAACAACAGTGAGTGGTCTTTAGCATCATTGATTAGTTGCTACTGTCTTCCCTTTCTCCTGTTCTAGAAGCAGATCTTTCCCTCTCTATACCCTATAACACATTTTTCCCATTTTTATTTTATATAGGTTTGCATACAAAATTTGTGTACATTGTGTTTCACATTTTAATTCATTAACATTGAGTTTCATACAATCATTTCCAAATGTTGTATTTTATAAAATTAATCATCATTGTACTATGCCCATGATTACCTTCCCTTTTCAGGCCCCACTGAATTTTTCCCCTTTCCTTTATCCCAACTACCTCCACCCACCAAATTGCATGACTTCATGATTTGTCCCTTGCCCACCCTCACCACTGTGCTCACACCTTTGCCCCTTGAATTTTCATCCACATTTTACTAATAATCCTTCTATTTTAGAATATGGCCTTATGCAGTATTTATCTTTATGAGATTGAGTTAATTCACTGAGAATATTTCTCTCCAGTTCAAGTTATGTAGTGTTTTTTTCAAAATCACTGCTCCTGAGCAGCACATTTTATTAAAAAAAAATTTGGGTAGGAAATCTGCAAGGACAGTGGAGGGAGTGCTGGGCCAGGACTTGTGACCCAGCCACCCCACACCCATTTGGGCCCTCGGGCCAGGAAGACAATCATATATGCCACATCTATAATATTTATAAGATTTATCAATCTTCCCTGAAATACTCATATACCATTGAGGATTAAGTTACTTGGAGAATCAAACTGGTCTGGCCTGACTACGTGGGGCCCACTAACTCAAACAACACTGAGAACCTGAGCATATCCAAAGAGTAGGGAAACTAATTCAGAAAGAGAACAACAGACTTCCTCCTTCATTATTTAGGTTTCCCCGAGCCCCTCCCGACATGTATCACTATGCACTTCCTCCCTCCCCACTCACGTGAGCTTTGGAGTGTGCATGCACCCTCCACACATCTGCTCTTGTTCCTGCCCAACCTTCTCTTAGAACAATGACGTCAAATCAAAAACCAGTTACCACCTCAGGCACGAAGAACACTGCCATAACAAGGGCCCATAGAAAGAAGAGCGCTTCACTTGTCCCACAAAGCCCAAAGCAAGATATCAACCCCCAAAGAAGACACAGTAGCAATGGA